GAAGAAATTCAACCAGAATATAAACTCAAGAATATCAATACTGAAACTTTTGCTCCTAGAGTAGGATTTCTCAATCTGGACACTACTGACAACTTAGGTTAAAAAATTCAGTTGTTGTAAGAGTTGTAAGCGCCCCCAATAAAATTATTCATAATTTTTTAAAAGTTCAGACATGTAGGTCCAGAAATGGCATGGAGGCCATGTCTGACCCACTTTAGCTACAAAAGTGGAAAGTAGAATCCAACTCCATACAGCCCAAGGCTGATTTCTATGAAGCAGGCTTCAAAAATGCCTCCTCTCGCCAATCTTTACCTTATTCTGAAGACAACCTAGCTCCCCTGATGCTCTAATGCTATTTTGAAGTTGTGCGACTGTTGCAATGGCCACACAGAACTCACAGAAAATACTCAAGTTAATTAGGGAAACTAACAGGTTACAAGTCAGGATCAGAAATGTTAAGGATACAGTTGTTTGACACACAGTTGCCTCTTCTCTGCTATGCCTGCAGGTACATTTCCCTTTTGTCCTTGATCTGGGCCAAGTGGCCCCTGGGTCTCTGCCTTGCTCAGGCAAGTGTTACAAAACTCCTTTAGCACAGACAGAAGCCCATGGCAAACCCCACTCTCCTGCTCAAAGGCACTCAGCTTTACTCATGATATAGTCCAGGAAGCCACCATTCTGTCTCATGGTCTCTACTGCTACCATCTCTTGTGCACCTGCTGCTTCCACCACAACTCTATGCACAGATCTGGGACATGCTCCACTTCTGGGTGGTTTTTCTTCCTTGGTGGTTCTGAGATTTTCTGTTCCTGCTTTTGAGATAGCTTGGACTTGCACCAAGGACGTTTCCCTGAATGGGTCTGATAAGAAGGTGGGGAAAGGTGCTTATAGGATTCACCTGTGATTGTGGTCACAATTCATTGGAATGCCATCCTGCTGTGTAAATTATGAGCCCTCTGAGAAGCAGAAGGAAGGATCTCATTATAAGCAGAGCCAGGAGTGGAGGGGATCCTTTGTAGACCCTGAGCAGTGAACTTCCTGGATCCAGAGATAACTATGCCATCAGAGGATTAGCAGGAGAACCAGGAGCCAGAGCACAGGACAGAGTGTTGGATGTCCCAACCCAAGGAGCAAATGAGGATGAGGAGTGCTTTTGTGCTTGAGGAGTGGGGTGCCTCTGGGTACTTAATTGGGAGGTTGGAGTTGCTGACCCATGGAAATAGAGCTGAGTGCCCTTTGACTAGAGCCTACTGGAGGAGAGGGGTGTCTCAGTGAGCTGGTTTTGCTGACCCACAGGATTTAAACTGCATGCATTCAGGGTGAAGCCTACAGCTGAATGGTATGTCTTTGAGCATTAGTAGACTTGACGAAACTTTTTTAACATGTACTGATAAACAGCTCAACCCTGAGCATTTCTCACTGGCATTCGAAATTTTTAGCTTCCTTAAGAAACCCTTGAATCATAAAAAATTTTTAAAAAGCAGAGAGCAAAACTGACCAATCCTCTCATTAGAGTTTCACATACACTATTGGTAGGCTCCCGCCCACTTATTTAGTGAGAGCTACAAAGAAGAGTCATACCAAGGAATTTCACTTCACTATGGGAGGGGCAACCCCGTGAATTGCAGGATTTCTGGCAACATCCCTGATTTCTACCCACTCGATGTCAATATTACTCCTGAGTTATGAAATCCCCCCAAATGTCCCCAAGGGACAAACTGTCCCCTGTTCAAAACCAATAATCTAGAGAGAATGATTGGATAAGCAAACAGATGGGTACATATTTGTACTCTACCTGTAAGATATTAATTTCTCTTTGAAGTAAATATGATTCTCTACATCTTTTTTGTTTGGGTTTGGTTTCTGGAGTTTTGTTGTTGCTTTTTCTATCTTTTAAAAGAATATGTTAATACACTCTGTGGGATTAATCAAACATTTTCATATTTCTATAATGGACATTTGTTAAAGAATTATCTCCACTATATTGCAAATGTTTAGCAACTCATTTTTCAAACTGGCAAGTGCCATTTGTCTCAAAATTTTCATTTTAGTCATACTGAAGTTTTGTGTATCACTACTTGGGTTTACCAACTCCTGTGCTGCCAAGGAGTTCTGACATTCTTCCAGTGAGCTGGGGAGATGCCGTCAGGCTCCACAGAGACACATTAGAAATTGGAGAAATATTCAGCATCAAGCCATTTTCCAGTGGCAAAATGGCCACTGAATGACAACTTTTGTGACTGTTTTCTGTTTTTGTGATTCAAAATCATTCAGATCACTTAATTTGCATGATCACATATTAAGATGTAGCCTCCATTTGGCTTTACTGAAGCTTTTGAAAATAAGAGATTATTTCTCATTAGTAGTATGACTGTGATTTCTTTTTTTTTTTTTTT